AATTGGCCTAGTGTAAATTTGGTCTTATGATTGCTTTATGACGTATTTTCATAGGATTAGTTCAGAACCTCTTGGTCAAATTCAAGACACTAATAAAACTTAAGAGTTTTAAGAGGGTTGTTAAGAGTAAATAGTTTCGATGAAGAATTTCAATGACTAATATCCGCGGGTGGTTTCATTTCGCACATATTTGAGAATTTTTCCTTTGCTGATTTCCTTCATACAATTCTGACACAATGGGAGAGACCACTGATTTTTCAAAACGGAATCATCCTGAACTCAATACTGAAAAAATGCCAGTGAATTAATTTTGAAATATTTCATCCATGCTAGGACGATGAAAAAAATGAATGAGAATATGGCTATTTCAAAACACAATTCCTGCTCTATTCGAAATGGTGTCAATTGATTGGTGTGACTGGTGCGACGTATTAGTATCAACACGCCTATTGTCCTTGAGCTGACCAATCACACTGCAACACTGGAGAATGGCGAGGTATCAGAAAGAGATAGGTACAGTTGGAACTGATTCGTCACGGCTTCACCTTCATATCTGGCTTTTGGAAATATCGAATGGAATATGCTGATTTCAAAACGCTATAGATTCGAATTCCTCCAACTCCAGCTCATAATATTGATTGTACATTCAACGTGAATCATGATTCGTCGATTGAAAGAGGTTTGCACGGTTTTCTTCCGTAAGTGGTCTTATCCATTCTGACACAAGTCTGACACAATTCTGTTGTTATTTCATGATTAGGGTTCTGAAATCAGGTTCGGTATTCTGCTGCTGCGCTTGCCTAATACTAAAAATAACGTGTATATCGCGATTCGAATTTTTGTTTGCAAATGTTGAACAGGAGGGAAAGAGCGCGTATATTGTCGAGGAGTTCTCGCGACCAACAAACGCTTGCAAAACGAAACATTCGAATCTTGATATACAATATTCTATTCCGTATCTGATATCACAATGATATTCGTTGTATTATTATTTCACAAAATCCCATCTCCTATGAAAATGTCAGATTTCAATCCATGGCAGCTCTAATAGAAGAGCATTACTTGAGAGAAAATGCCAATTCTACACTCGTATAATTAATAGCATATGCCTATTGTCATGATTGAATCACCAAAACTAAAATATCTGGCTAGAAGTTACAGATCTCTGGAATTGATGATATTGAATCTGATTTTGGGCTAACCAAGAGTTGCCACGTTACTGAAATGATTGCCTTGGTTAAAGATTCGAGGTGCCACCATTGAAAAGTTGAGTTCTGTTTCTTTTCAAAATAACTGAACTATCCAATTTCAGCAAAGTCTCGTTTTTTTTTTTAATTCAATTTACTCTTAAAAGAAGCTCCAATTGGAAATTTCACAAGAGTGTCTTGCTTTCTGAATTAACAGGAAATTTGAGAAAATATGTCTATTCAGTGGTTTGATAAATCCCAATCAGCACAAGTACGTCTTATGGACGTTTTAAAAACGTCCACTCTGGACATTCAGGACGTTTTGGGGACGTCCATTTCCGGACGACGGACGTCTTATGGACGTTTTGAGGACGTCCATTGTTAATAATCAGGATGTTTTGGGGACGTCCAGTTTAGGTCCAGACTAGGACCTTTTTGGGATGAAAAATGGACGTATTGAGGACATTCAGACAATATTGATTATTGATTTTCTGACCCATCTGAAGAGTGAAATACTTGAATATTAGTTAACATTTATTCGCAAACAATAATATGGACAGAGATTCAGGTAGTTGTTTCAATTTCACTCTTCCATATCGTATATCAGCAGCTGCACCACTAAAAACGTCGCGTGATTCATCCAGGTACGCAGGCGCGATGATGTCTGTTTCTGATTGGCAGCCTTCTGTTGTCTTCTTCACTGGATCTGTAAATAATAATAATATTCAATAACATCTTCTGTGAATACCATAAACCATAAACACACACCCACTTTCAACGTGTAGTAGTCAGTATAGCGGAATACTTCATTATTTTTATTTCATTGAGAACTTATTCCATACATAAACTGATTCTTAGGTAGGTACCTATATAACCTCTATGAACCTTGCACGAATTATATGTTTCAACTATATACAAAAATATAAACTTTGGTAGATGATGGAAATGGGATTAGGTAGAGCTTTGCATGAGATCAAATTATTTAGAAAGGTATCTAATGTTTTCAACTACAGATTTGATGTTCTTACTCAAGCATCTTCATGCGAATGAAAATAAAACGATAGCGTCGATAGCCATACTTGCCTTCAAATAAACATCTCGATGGAACTCGAGATCGAAGTTCGCGTTGATAGATGATATCCGCAAAGATTTCACTTATTCACTGCTTTTACAGTCTAATAACCCGAAAAGTTCAGAATGTCCTTGGACCTGAATCACAGTTTAATCGGCACTCGGCAGTGGTCAACTGACGGACGCCATCTTCCTACGTTTTCGTTTCACAGTTTCACACGTAACACGCACAGTGTTGCCGGATGATAATTTGTCGGAGCAGTAGATGGGTGGGGAAAAACAGTAGATCATCAAAACTGAACAGAAGATTTTGATAATCATCACAATTGCTATCATAAATGAAAAAACATAGTCACCCATATAATAAACGAAAAAAAAATCATGTTCGGTCTCTATACCTATCAAAATCGAACGAAGAATAACAAAAAATAATGAAACAAAAAATAAAATTTGTGAAAACCGCAACCAGATTAGAAATAAAAGCTAATTTTCACTAATCAGACTGAATATGATAGTTGCAGTATATTTTTATCATACATCTTCTTACTGTGATGTCCCATTAATTATTCATTGTTGCATATTGGGTAGTTACGTCATATCAAAACTTGACCAATCAGACCATTGCCTTGAATAGTTGAACAGTAGAACGAAGACAAAAACAGTAGATCTACTGCTAAAATAGTAAGTCTGGCAACGCTGAGCACGCATGCGTTCTACGGTTGCTTTACATATTCAGTGGTTCAAACAAATCTTATTATAAAAGCGCGGCTTGTATGAATACTTCAGTGTGGGTATGAATACTTCAGTGTGGGTTTAAGAATGGTCAAACTGTATAGGTATTATGTGATTGAAGGAATATGATTCAACATAACAAATTCATAATATTAATAATAAAATGAAATTCAATATATTGATACAGCTGATATATGATATATTTTTTGACATTATTCATGTCCATATTCAATTCAATAATTCTAATTTCAAAATTTATATATACCCACCTACTTATATCAATTTAAACTGATATACCGTGAGAGTCTGTAAATTGGACGTTTTAAAGACGTCTTTTTCTGGACGTCCGGAGTATGTCCAATAATAGACGTCTTAAAAACGTCCATAAAAGGTCCTGGACGTTCAGACCAAAAATGGACCTAAAATGGACGTCTTCGGGACGTCCCGTGCTATCTGGGATAGTTCGGCAAAAGGGAAACAACTCCCCTGTATCTACTCCACTGGAAAATTCTGACAAAAGTTAGTTGCGTCATACAACGATCATTTCATAAGTATTTGCACTAGATTTTGATTCATGTCATAAGAATTATAGCAAGAAAAATATTTTTAAAACTGGACTTCGGAGGGATGTATCTCCCTGGAAGAGGTTTTTCAAAATTAACTATAATATTTATGCCACTTTTTATTATGAAGAACCATGGTTGATTATTGCTAATATACCCTGAATCACCATGTATATTAGCTCGCTTATTTCTATCTAATGAACACTTTAGTTGATGGAAAATACATCGAACCATTACTCCTGATGAGATCAAGGAACTCATCATAACAAATATTTTATGAATTTTTCACAATGTTTTGCTCTTCAAAGAAAGCTTCGAAGACCTGGAAATCAAATAATTCTGAATCCGCCCCTGGCATGGTCGCGTCTTTATTGCGCATGCACACATTTGCCTTGCGAGCCACGTTAGGGAACAGTCGAATAAAAGGATATTGGCCTCCTAGGTCTTTGAGTTCTGTAGTCCTGAGTCGTTCAATTGCGGTAGGAAAATCTTGGTCAACATATGGCCCTATATCGTGCACCGTCCACTGTTGTGGTTTGACCAGCGGCGTCCTCGAAAATAATTGCCTGATAACTCTTCCAGCGTGAACAGCGCACCATGCAGTCACTTTCAGCGGATGTAATGGCTCCTCGTGCATCACTCGTGGATTTTTGGTAACCTAGAAGCGATATTTTTGCTTGTTCACGTACCCGCTGAGGTGGAAATGAGCCTCACCACTCATTATGATTTTGGTAGAGAAAACGTCCACTTTGTCTACGAGATTGAGGATGGCTTCTCGTAGGAGAAACAAACAGCTCTCCTCACATGATACAATGGTCATCTGGTATAGTTTTGAGGAGAGAATCCGAAAGCAAGTTCAGGAATCAACAAAATTCAATTTCAAAATAACTGTAGGAAGAGATATTCGACATACACGTCGGACTAAGGAAATCATTGATTCATCCAATACATCAGATGGAATTGATGTTGTTGAAAAATTTTGTACAAGTAATAATTCCATTTGCTATCGTTGAATGGATGTGACCCTGATCTTAGATCTTGGACAATTTTCTTCTCCCTATGAAACTGCTATCAACTTGTTGTTCTTAACAAGAATATGTTATGCATATTCATCTGCTGTGGATCCTATTTCAATCAATATTATTGAAAAAATGAATTGAAAACGATCGAGAAGCTCACTGTCCATATACAAAGTGGGCGAGAATGGAATATATGATTTGCCTCTATCGGCTCTACCTTTTCAGAGATTCACACGCATAATACTACTTCAGTTTCCTGATCATTCACGAAATTGTGTTTCGAGTTTTCACATACCTTATGAGTTATCGATATGGTCCCTCAATATAATCCAGTCAGTATCTCCACTGTTGTTTTGTGACTTACCTACTCAATGTAATATATACTTAATTGATTGTATGAATTGATTCATAATATATTCATGTGAATGATGGTCATGTTTCATCTGGGTATCCAATTTTATTTATCCCAGAAGACTAACATGGTAAGTACAATATTTCAAATCAGAAGAATAATCACTGTTCAGCACCTCCCATCTTATTCAAGATCTGAGTACCAATATCTCGTAGTGTGGGTATCCAATTTCTTTCCCATCGAATGGAATGTAGCATGTTCTATGACTGGGATGTATCTGCAAAAAAAAAACATACTGATTCACTCACTGGAGATATATTCTAACCGATTCAATATACAGGGTGTAATTTGATTTATAGTCGAAAATATAAGATATGGTTTCTTAGCTCATTTTGAGAAGAAGAATTCATATTATCAACATATGCCCAAAAACCTCTCATTAACTTTCGAGCTATAAGGTTTTGAGATTTCAAGAAATAATTCGATTTCTTATCATAACTCCCATACTGTTCTAGAAATATTCATGATATTTGACATGCACCTACTAAGCGCCATTAGGCATTCTTTGATGAAGGAGATGTTTTGATATTCTTACCAGTGGCCTCCGTATCGAATGTGAACTAGAAGTTCTTTGAAAAAAAATATTGCATGCCCTCGATTTCCAGGAGGATAAAAATAATTTTTAAGATCCTCCATTTTGCAACAATTTGAGACAGTTTGAGAGGTTTCATCCGTCTCATTTTCATGCATTTGCCGTATTACGAAATGGGTTTGTTTCAGTGAAGAATTTCATTTCATGATTTCGAAGTATCAACTATAGTGCACTGTCGCAAACCGTTTTTTCCAGAGCTATGTACATTTTCTGAATATTCATTGAAATTGACGATATTTCGTGACATGAAAAACGCGGGAGAACCCGTGACGTTATAATTCGGAATAGTTCGACATACGTATATTCTTCATTTCTGTAAGACAAGTGCAAGAATATTTCTGATTGTCCTTTCAATCAGGAAATTAATTTTCGGGATTGAATACTTATCGCAGATAACTGAGAATCAACACACAACTCAAGAATCGGATAATATGACGATTTTCTTTGAATATTCGCATCTTGACTAGATAAAACAAGGAATTGACGATGAAGGTGACAGCCGATATTAACGTCAGGAAGTTGGGTTGACAATGTGTCTCCTTCTTCTTTTTTGTATTTCTGGCAACTTAGGCATTACACTCTTGCTCCTGCCACAAAATTATTTGGGATTGAATGAAATCTTGATCATTATTAGAAATACTATGATATTTCTATTGGAACTGGAGCATTTCGCAAGTATATAGGTATTCAATAGGTGATTAGTAGGGACCAGGTCGAACTATTGTCTTTTGTGAATGTGAATACTATTGTCATTGGTCATATTGAATCTCATTAGGTAATTACTAGGTACAAATCTGGCAATACCAAAATATGCGCTCCTACTTTTTATACGAAATCCAGAATTCGGTTCCTGACGTCATCGAACCTAGAGTTTTTCGGAGTCTCCGAATTTAATCATGGGAAAAATATATTTCAGATGATTTGAAATAACAAATGATTGCATCAAATACTATTTTTACACGGAATGATCAATATGGAATAGGTATGTGGCGTGGATTCGTTGATTTGTACATCCCCTGTAATTTGTATTTTTAATAATTACATTTGATCGATTACATTACGGTGTTTTATCGAGTATTCATCGACGTCACAGTTTTTCATACAGCGAGAGTTTCAATCAATAATAAAGAGGAAATAAAATATCAAAACCCCATCGACCGAAACTTACTAGGTCAAGGGTATGAGTTTATATAAACTTAGCTTCTCAAACTGAGCTAAAAAACCATATCCTATATTTTTTGTAATTAATTCAATTTAACCCTGTAGAGGCATGAAACATATACGTGAGATATTATTTTTATGATTTCGTTGTGAAATGTGTCCCTAGATGTCCTCATCAGGTGATAAAACCGCGTCATATTTGGACATTAACGTACGGATTCCATCTTCTGACTCGATAGATAATTTCATTACTTTCTGGTTGACCTAGACTCTAGAGAGATCTTCTTCCTGTATACGTTACGACGATGAAACTTGGTATCTTAGTATTCTATGAGTTCCACTGGTTTTTTCAACCCTCCAGGTCTTTATACAAGGTGAATCGAAAAAGCAAAAATATTCAGATTTGTCAATGATTAACCAACATCCTATATGAGGTATTGTTGTTAATAAATTGTAACGATGTATGTAATATGTATGTACCTTTCCAACAGTATGTGACCCCATGTGATGAACTCGACCAATGTAAAGTGGTTCTCCATCAGAAGTTCTTCCTCCTTCTACAGCTCCGTAAGGAATGTTGCCATTGCTGGATGGCACCCAATCAAATCGCTGCTCACATAGAACCTTGAAAACATTTTCATTAAAATGATCACAAGTTTGAACCGATCGAAATTTGCAAAAATTGCGCATGTGTGGTGAGCACCATGAGAGATACAATGGTCTATATGACATCGTATCGGCCTAAAGGTCACAGATTCGATTCCTATATCATCTAGAGTGCCTCGAACATCTCATTTCACGTCCTTCAAAGAGTGTGGACACATGTGTCATATTGTTGAACAGCTAAACAAAAAACATGAGACACAAATATGTTTTATGAGAGATGGAATGTAATTGTTTTGTGTACACCTTCATTTAACGACTGCAGGCATATTATTATTTGAAACCCTACACAGATAAGAAGGATTAATTCGATCAAACCAATCCATTTTCTTGCAATCAAATTGCTTTGAACATGAATTTTTTATTTGAATGGAGTAATATACACTTGTCTCAAATCAATCAGCTTGTTTGCTTCGTTTATTGAAATTTCTTGATATTAATTTGCTCAACATAAATAGTATAAGTCTCCATTTGAGAAAACTATGACTACATTCCAATTGATATTGGTTCAAGGAAATCTCTGCTTGTCTAAGTACTTGCAGTGACGTATTTACAGCGGTACGCCTGCGCCCATTCGACTCCTCAGACATCAGCCGTCATTCGCCATTGCCGCTGTTGTTTTCCTTCTGAAGGCGGTGCAAAGCAAATTTGTTTGATAATGGTGAAGTGTTCAAGAATCAAGTGTGCTGAGTCATGGCGGATAACAGTGGTGAGGTATCATCTCCACAGTAGTGCGGGATTTCATATTTGTATATTTTGGTAGCAAAGTTGTACCTTGTCAGATGTTTTCCCCTCTCATTTTATCAGGAACATGCCCTTTAAATCAATCATACTTGAAACCATAACTACACATCACTGTAAACGCATAACATGGTCATGTTTGTATAAACAGCACAGCACACATTCGTTCAGCAGTGACGATCTGACCAGTCGCATTCATTCGATGAACGCACTGATAGGTATAGGTAGTTTGTTGTCCATTCTTTGTATATTTTTTACTCGATTCCTGATTAGAATAATTGAACCAATTTGCCTTCTTCCTTCCTGTTTTCAAGTACCTATAAAAACTTTGATACATGCCCTTTTGTCAAACGCAGAATTTCTTGTAACCAGAAAATATATAATTGTCTAGGAATTTTGTTTGTTTTCGACAATGCCTGGTTGTGATGAATTGAAATGTTATTACTTCTGAAGTGATTTCTATAGGTATACGGTAATTCCCATTTAACGAACCACTCTGCAAAAGACACAAAACATTTTTCAATTGATGATTGTACTCTTTTCCCTAGGTTTTCGTGGTTCAACATTCGAGCCATTTCAGCACATGGACATTCTGGGGAAGTGGACGAGGACAGCAAATCACAAAAATCTAGAAAAATGGATATTCTACCTCCTATAATATTGAGCTACACATATTATTCGAGGATTCAACTATATGTATATGTTTTCATTTATATTATACATGATTTCATTCTTGTTATGTTATAATGGGATGACCAAGTATTGATAGTCAAGATTCTCGTTTACCAACTGTGAGAATTAATTTCATTCAATACTCAATACTATAATAGTGAGCAATATTCGGATTTCCTTCGAGATGATATCCTCTAGTCAGAAGAAAATGAGGATCTTCTAATAAAATATTCACACTGGGAACTGAATCGGGATATCAAATCAGATAGTATTCCATAGGCAGCACTGACAAAATATCATTCACAAAATTTGAAAATAAAATATCATTCTTACAGTACGACGCGTCAGAATAACAATTCAAAGTTGATATCTGATTGTTCTGATAACCCAGATATGCCTAAATCTTTTTTGAGGAATTCAAAACTTTGAATGCTCCATATTCCATCTGAATGGGGTCGAAATAAATGGAGTATATGGATTTTAGGATTTCTTTTTATTCAGAGGTACTCAAATCTGGCCGTCCTACATTTAGGACATTAGGCACATAGGGATGATAATTGAAACTGGTTATGTTTCTTGATGAAACATGATGAAACACTTTGTGTCGAGTCTAACGTTACATTGTGAGCACCTCGTAGTAGTTATTTTGATGACACAGGGCACATCGTGTTTGTTTGACTTGTAAAATGATAAAAATGACCAAGGCGGTCATATCTTATATCAACATCTTCTCTTTCGAACTGTCTTCGGAGATTGCCTCAGTGACTAATTCATTTTTTCCATCTTCCCTACTTTCCCAATATATTCTACTGCATGGAACTCGAATATATCAACTGAACATTAAGTCTCTGATGAAGCTTTCCATCTCAGATTTCTAGATATTGCCTTTTTTCATCAAAGTGTCTGTTCCAAACTAGGTTCGTCCAAAAATTTTGAGAATAGTTTGAGTGGGCCAATTGAACAATAGTATTCTCATAATCGGATTCTATAGTGGGCAAATCTCCTACTATCCAATAATTAATTTAACATTCTTCCATCTTTACTTCCTTGGATTTCTTCTTCCTCTATCGTTTTTGTTATCTCAGATAATATCACATCATCCTCTGAAGAAAAACTTCACTATCATCAACACCAACATGACTTTCATTGTGTCAAAAATTCAACTCAACTGGAGCGCGAAATTCAGATCCTGTCAACTCGTTTATTGAAAAGTGTTCTCGCACGAATCGTCATCTGTCAACTCAGTAGATGCGTTAATTGTAGGTCCTATATGTAGGACGGCAACAATAAACCTGAGATATGAAAAACAAATATCATGAATGGTCGATTAAGATACGGCATAGGTTATCTAAGAGATCATTGAGACCACAAATTGGATTCGAACATGAAAATAAGAATGAAATAATAACTCACCAAGCAAAGCGTACACTGTTATCTTTCATTTTCTGAAATAACCTTACTTCAAACCTGCTGTTGAGCTCAAATGGAGCAAGTCTGTGAACATTTTTGACATGTCCATAATCATTCGATGTAGAATGAATGCGTAGTTTTGCTACATATAGAAAGATGACGCTAGTAGAGAAAAAAATGGAACGAGCATAGGTGAACTACATATAGGACATTAGGCATCGATTGGCACAGCCATCTGTTCGATGAGAATATTTTTACATGCCTTTGGGACATATATCATTTCGTTTTCAGATGACGATGTCGATATTTGCAGCCGGCTCTTGGACTATATGTGTGATTCATTATGTATTATATTGATTAGGTACTTATATGATAATGATTTAATGTTTCAATGTATTTTAGCATTCTTGGAAATGATATATTATGTAGAGTAATATATATCATTTCGAAGGAAGAAAACAACGAATTCATCGATATAATGAAATACAGGAAGATTGAACCCGTGTGGTGATCGGATTAGAATAACCCCACGGTGAGTCCTGCCTGTCGTAGAAGGCGACTAAAAGGACGCCAATAGGTGGAAGATGGTTAACGCCATCGCCCGGTGCGATACCACCACATCAACCATAGGCACTGTGAAATGGGTATACTTACCCGTGTTTCAGTAGCTGGTTGATGTTCCGGCCAACCCAACCCAACCCAATTTCCTTTTCCTTCCACGCCAACCTCCCTTCTCTATACAGAATAAGCGATGATGAGTTCTCCTCAAGTGAAATTATCCGGAAGTAAAATACCTCTCCATTCGGATTTCCGGGCGAGAGGTGCTAGAGGGGGTTCACCATCGACTGAAAAAGTCCTCAAGATAGACTTATGTAACATCCGAGGTCTAAGTAAGAACATCAACGATGTCCATCGACACCTTCAAATTGAAAAGCCAGACATATTGGCTCTTACTGAGACACAGGTCAATTCATCCACCAATACGACCTATCTGCTCTGTCCTGGGTACGAACTCTACACACGTTTCAGATTCAAGGGAGGTCTCTGCCTCTACTCTAAAACGAATCTCTCATGTCAACGAGAAAAAACTTTGGAACCAAATAAGTTTGATGTCATGTGGTTCAAACTCGATAGCCAGAAACAGACCAAATACCTTTGTTGTCTCTACTTGTCACCAAACGATCCATCCTACGAAGAGCTCTTCGAATTCTTGTCTCTGAAGCTTGACCAAATTCAACAGAACCATCCAGCAGCAGAAATCATCATCATGGGCGATTTCAATGTACACAACACTGCTTGGCTCGTACACTCTAACAGAACGGATGAAGCTGGGCGACAAGCCGAAGCTTTCGCCATCACTCACGGCTTAGAGCAGCTTATCAAAGAACCCACACGAATTCCCGATGCCAATAACCATTCAGCTAACATACTTGACTTATTTCTCACTAATAATTCAGCACCCTACACCATAGATGTACGAGCTCCACTTGGCAATTCTGACCACACACTCATCTCCACAACCTGCCCATTCTTCATTCCATCAACTGCTCCGGCACCCCCACGTCTTATATGGCATTACAATTCAGGAGATTGGGATGGTCTCCGCATGTTTTTCTCCGAGTTTCCTCGGCATAGAGTATGCATCGACTCTGAGGACCCTTCACAGTGTGCTGCAGAAATATCCGAGATCATCATGCTCGGAATGGACACATATATACCTCATTCTTCGAAGAGATCATCATCATCGAAACCCTGGTTCAACAAAAACTGTTCTAGAACTGTTGCCTTGAAACAAACAGCCTTCCATCGCTGGCGCAAAAACCCTAACCTCGCGACTAGAGCAGAATACGTTGATGCTAGGAATAACTGCTGCCAAACAATAGATGCTTCGAAAGAAACATACAATGCCAAGATAAGATCGAAACTCATAGATTGTCCCAATGGATCCCGTTCGTTTTGGTCCCTTGCTAAAGCGGTCGGAAGAAATTTCACTTTTCATAATTTCCACCACTGTCCAAATCCGACGGCACATTAGCAACAACATCGCAGGAGGAAGCAAATATCTTTGCAGAGATGTTCGCAGCAAACTCTACTTTAGATTCCCAAGGAAAAGTGCCGCCAGACATTCCACCGGTTGAGAGTCGAATGCCCGAAATCGTCGTCCGTCAACGCACTATCAGACGAATTTTGCTTGGTCTCAAAACGAATAAGGCTAACGGTCCTGATGGAATCCCACCCATTATCCTCAAAAAATGTGCACCAGAACTAACACCGATTCTCTGCAAGTTGTTTACTGTCTCGTACAGGTCGGGTATTTTTCCATCATGCTGGAAGACAGCTAGAGTCCAACCAATCCCCAAAAAATGGAACAAGAACCTGCCCAACAACTACAGGCCCATTGCCCTGTTATCAGTGATCTCCAAAGTGATGGAGAAAGCCATCAACATTGAACTCATCAAATATCTGGAGAGCTCAGGAATTATCAATGATAGACAATACGGCTTTCGCCAGCGAAGATCTACTGGAGATCTACTTGCCTAGGTCACCCATTTATGGCAAGCTTCATTAGAAAAACATGGGGAATCTTTAGCTGTCGCGTTGGACATATCGAAAGCATTTGACCGTGTTTGGCACAAAGGACTCCTCCACAAACTACCATCATACGGCTTACCACCTCAGCTATGCCATCTCTTATCGAGTTTTCTTTCAGGCAGATCGCTTCATGTGGTGGTGGACGGTGTATCGTCTGATACCATAGGCATCAATTCCGGCGTTCCACAAGGATCGATTTTGGCACCAACATTATTCCTTCTGCATATCAATGATCTGTTGGGAGTAACAACTTGCCCCATCCACAGCTTCGCAGATGATAGTACCCTCCATACTGCGTTCTCATCGAGAATTCCCATCTCTTCCCAGGAAACTAAGAACTCACGGCGCAGGCAGGTCAATGCTGTCAATGAAGACCTTGCTGAAATCACAGCCTGGGGAACCAACAACCTAGTTGAATTCAACGCCACCAAAACTCAAGCCTGTATTTTCTCTAGAAAAACGGAACTCAGTATGCCCGATATTGTAATGTCTGGCACCACCATCTCCACCAAGCCCACCATATCTATGCTCGGTATTTCCATCAGCAACACTCTTTCATGGGATAATCATGTCAGATCCATCGCAAAAGCTGCCTCACAAAAACTCGGATTCTTGTTCCGTGCGAAAAGCTACTTTACACCTCAACAGCTTCTCATCATCTACAAAGCTCAGATACGGCCTGTTCTAGAATACTGTTCCCACATATGGGGTTCAGCACCAAAACATACGCTGATGCTCTTAGATTCCATCCAGAGAAGAGCCATCCGCCTGGTGGGTGACGCCACACTCACTCACTCTTTGACATCATTGGAACACCGTAGAAAGGTCGGCGACCTTTCACTTTTCTATCGATACTTCCACGGGATATGTGCTTCGGAAATCTCTGCTATCATCCCTTCACTAGCAATACCAGTCAGACGAACTAGACGAGCCCAGTCAGCACATCCTTTCGTTGTCAACCTCGAAAGATGTCGAACAGCACTTTATCAAAACTCCTTCATCCATAGAACGGCTAGGCTCTGGAATTCATTGCCTGAGGAAGTATTCCCAACAACATTTAATCTCCAGAAGTTCAAAAAAAATTCCAATACCTACCTCCTATCCTTATCCTCCCTAGGAATGCACGATGTTCTTTGAATATAATAGGGATTCCCTTTCGTGCGCTCCAAGCGATAAAAAAAAATTTATTTGAATGAATGAATGAATGAATGTATAGGTTTGTTACGAATCTCCATTCCCGTGAACCAAAAAATATAATTTTGACTGCGCTACTGGATTCTGTGCAAGACGTAGTCACAGAATGAAAACCCCGAAGGTATGGAAGGGGTAAAAAAGTATAAATTCTCAAAATCACTCTGTATCTCATGAACGGAAACAGTTATGCTAAACCTGAGTAGGCCATCTTGAGTTTCACAAAAAAGTAGGACAGGAACGTGAAAACCGCAAGGATTTGTCTATAAGAACTACCGAGGAACTTGGTAGTCCCAACCAAATTGGAATGCAATGAATATATACAGGGTGATTGTTTATATTTTCCTCAACAGCTATCTGAGTTGATGTTGGTCTTGCAAAAACGTTCAAATGGGCAAGAATCAAGTATTTCGTATGGGAATTCATAATCAAGTCCTAGAAAATGCAAAAATATCGTCGTAAACCTGAAAATGTTGCATTTACTCCACTGTACAGAATTCCTTTGAGTTGATGCATATTTGGTTGTGAGTGAATTTACTGATTGAAATTTTTGAGTGGATTTTCAACTCAAACTAGATATTTCATGGAGTTTTTCTATCGATGGAAATGTTTATGATGAATCGGCTCATGAATTACCATTTTACACCAGTCAAGTAGGGTGGAATTTCAACTCAATCGGGCGTGGACCGAAATTGACACATCAATGCGTGGACCTTCCATGAAATCTCACTCAATTTTTGTTCAGTGTGATATTTTTCAAATGTATCTGTATCTGATTTCCCTAAACGGTGAAGCTCTTTCTGCTGACTCCAAATATATTTACTTTATTGAGGTTATCTTCTTTTAACTCCAGAAAAATATAGATTTTTGTTATCGATCCAAGAAGGGTGTTCAACCATTGTCGATCTGAATTAAGCCCTATAGTTAAGTTGTTAGATGGCGAGTGCATGTGTTGATCGCCAGACGACAATGCTGCGATTTCTGGCGTTCTACGGCTGCCTTAGAATCTATATTCTTCGGAAACTAACAAAGACAACCTCAATACAAGAGATATATTTGGAATAAGAGGAAAGAACTATACCGTTCAGGATGATGAAATACAGTTTGTCTCATTCAAAACAGTCTGCTTTATGTAACATTTTCAGATTTTCGAAGCTTTTCGCATCTTCTTGTACTAGATTCTGAGTGCCATGGAAAATTCTTGCCCATTTGAACGTTTTTGTGAGACCAATAATCACTAAGAAAACTATTGAATGAAATATGAACAATCAACCTGTACTTAATGATAATGAATAATTCAGGGTGATTTCTTGTTATATTTTATGAGGGACACTCATTGTCCTAACTTGCTTCGTTTCCAAGAGACAGAGTATCAATGTTTTTATAAAGAACTTTTATATCGAATACTCGAGAATATGTTTTTGACAATTTGAATAAAACTTGGTGAACTGTAACTTGGTTGTTGAACACCAATTTATTAGGTTCGTATAATGTATATTGGTATACTTGCATGGGTATATTTTTCCTTTTTTGCCACCTCCAAGGGAGTTGTTCTACTCCTGAAGTGATCAACATAACTAATTCCATATATTGTATATTTTTCTCATTTTCCGGAAAATGACCATATTCAGTCTTGAAACATGTACGAATCTGTCATCTGTCCATCAAAGGAACTTGAGAATCCACGGACAATTCGAATTCAGTTCACAAGCACTCACATTGAATGTACTCCTTACTAACGAATATATCAAGAGCAATCTGTAATAGAAATGATAGATTCTGAAAATCGAATAATATTTTGAATGAAAAATTCCAGAGTCATTGAAGTCTCACAAGATCAATTCTTTCAGATTTCAATGGAGATCAGGCAAGATCACTTTTATTATTTTCTACTAGAGTATGGCATTTTTGAAGGTATATTCACAGATAAGAGTCCTCTGTTCCTGAAAATCTCTATCACCTTCCATCATCAATGTTCACTTCAGATTATGATTTGGATCACTCTACCTATGATATTCCTGTTACACCGAGGGATCGCAGAAGAATCCTCAGATATGTCAACTTCGTTACTCCGATACCCTAATACAGATTATTCCTATATTTTTCTCGATCATATTTCACTCATTGCCACTCACTTGGAATTGGCTCTTGCCATGCTCCTCTCCTCCATAGGCCACGTACGCTACATTCTTACTAGGGATCACTTTGGCTGGTAACCAGTCGCCCTCGTGGAAGGCCCTGCCGACGAAGATTTGTGCTCCATCGATATCGTAACCGCCATGGATGGTGGTGGATGGGATACCAGCATGGGCATGGGCGTCTACCCAATGATAAGCTGTCGAAAAATATCAAATATATTCCACGTCAATTATTTTTTCAATGCATTGTGTTGCGTCATTACAAAAATAAAACTACATTCGAGCAAATAGAGCATGTATATGATACCAGATATGAAGCTTAAAATACTATTGAAAAGGAATATTCTCAGATATATTTATGAACAGAGAAATATGGATTTATATACAGAGAAATGCATTGAGAATTTGCATTCTCCATGTGATCAAAATATCAATGCTTTGTCGATTTATTCAACAGAAAACAACACTACTTTTCTGGCTATATGCCACGACGAATATTGAATTACATAATATATTGAACACACACACGATGAGACCTTGGAAACAAAATCTCCTAAAGTAGAGAATTTGCTTTCTCCTTAATATGAAGATATGCCTATGATATCATTTTGAATATTCAACAGAAAACAACTAGTTCACTCGATTCATTGGGATTTTCTCTCCTCGTTTCTATAAAATGAAAGTATTCGTATTATTTCAATATATTTTTAGAGGGACAAATCAGATGATTTGCCCCAAAATGTCACTGCGTTTAACAAATTTTTCTATCAGGGAGTCTAAAAGAAAAATCCAGTAGCTTGTCAGTGACAATTTGTTTGAAAAAATGTTTGAAGGAAAGAAATATAGATATATTGAAAAAATATCGAATTTTTACTTATCTTTAGACGTTTCGGGACCGATTCTGCTCCCGTTCTCAACATGTAAATGCAAATTATGTTTCTTTGAAAGTTGTGCTGCTTATAGTTTGACACTTTGCAGTGTCATGTTGGCATATGAATGAGTGATTTAAGTCTACAAATGAGTAACAGGATGTTTTCATTAATTGATCTTGAATCTACCATTTCCATGTTAAGTTTTCAGTAGTGAATACCATGTTCTATCTATATCAACTGAACAGGAAGCAATGCTATTGTCTCCGTTCAGAAGAATGCAAGCGGATTCCTTGATTTTTCATTTTAGGTTGTTATCATCCTTTCCTATATGATTTTGATATTATTCCACTCTTCCATATGTTGTCCATCTTCAGTAAGGATATGTTAAGTTAGCTTCGATTTATCGATATGTCTTTTATCGATATTGTACTTGTGTTCTTTAGTCCTTACTGAGGAGAGAGGTCTTTCCGTTTCACCTGTATAATACTTTCCACAAACACAAGGTATACTATTGATACAATTTTTTGATGATTGTTCTTCATTTTTTGGCTTTGTTTGAGTTAGAATGGATCTCATTGTATTTTTAGTTCTGAACACAGTTTTCACTTGGAACTTTTCACCAACACGTTCTATTTTTTCAGATATGTAGTTATAATTCAAACACACATACACAAGATGAATGTCAATTTATCATACATCTAAAAGCTAAAAATACTGTAATACCAAAAGCTGACAAAACCTTGATGCAAAGATGCTATGTTTATCTTAGTGCTATCTTGTATGCTGAACTTTCTCCTGAAATAACACAGTTGCACAGTCTCAACATGTTCAAAGAAGAATCAAAGTATCGTCACGTTATTTGGGTGCAGAAGCCATGCCCAATCGTCATTCCCTACCCATGAGCTGCCAAAAGTCCCACCGAGAAGAGTCTGATTGAAATCAGTTGAATAGCCAATGCCGCACTGACTAAAACTGTGAGTGTGCATTGTAGACACTGAACTTTTGAGTGCGTGAACTCAATTCCCAAGATGTATTGTTTTTTGTCATTCATGTATTAAAGGTATATGTTCCCCTCGATATCTTTAGGTAGGTAGTAATTTTGATACTGGGGTCCAGTTTTCTCGAAGAGGGGGGTCATGTCACGAGTAGAGCATACGGTTTATCAGTTATTTCGAACCATGAGAGTATTTTGAACAAGAAGTCAATCAAATCATCCGTTGACATTGAACTGCCCAAGGAACTCTCATGAGAAACGTGCCAGTCTAATGAAATGATGAATATATAAATAGTTGAAGTGAGGGTTCCGAAGATAGTCTGGTCTGGGGCTAGTCTCGACTTGACAAGAGCTCGTCATTATAATGTTATTTGTTGTAAGGTCTTTTTATTCATTGTTGTGGATTCATATTTATCATCACTACCCATAATATTCCATGCTTCAATAAATATTGTTCAAATATATTCTCATACTTTCAGTTACTCCTGAACAATTAGTGCCTATTTAAATATCACCACTCGCAAACTATTGAGTCAAGCTAACCCCTCATAAATCGATATGAATGAGCTAACCATCTATTTCATCGCGACAGTATCGCGAGAACGAGTTGTATTCATTGAAACAATTTCACGACCTAATGAAACATTTATCTCTATCCGAGAGAGAGAATTTCAAAGTCATTATCACAATAGTTCATTTAATGAACGAGAATCGTAGATAACGAGAAAAAACAACTACTTTCCTGGCTATAAGATACGCAAAACATTGATTTATTTCCTCTTGATACCTATGTAACGATTCGTAGGGACGAATAAGATATATGTCTTCTTCCTAAATGCAGAATTGTGCTTGAACTGTTCAGGAACGCATTGAAACCTGCACACTGATTTCAAGCTTCTGGCTATTATCAGTACAGGGCTGTCCCTCAGATTGCATTCTTGACCGCTATCTGATGCGAACTTAACTCAACATGAACGCATCTCAGCATTTAATACTCCACGAGGCATTCAACGTCTGCGAAATGAACGCGATCGAACGCCGACTATCTGGGGGACAGCCCTGTACTGATGATAGCCAAAAGCGTGAAACCGGTCTGCAGGTGGTGCATGCGTTCCTGAACAATTCGAGAGGATTTGATATATTGTTCCGCGTGGAATATAGTCAGGAAAGTCGTTGTTTTTTTTCTCGTCATCTACCATTTTCGTATATTTTATGAACTATTGTGGTAAGTACTTTGAGTTTCTCTCTCTTTGTGACCATATCATTCCACTCTGAGTATCTGAATCTTCCTTAGTTCCATTTCTATGCTCTACCAGCTGACGAAATGAAATATTATGTTGTTCTATTCAGATTTGCGGTTGCCGTGACGACTTGGTTTCACAGGCTCAAAAGGACAAAGCAGTGTACTATCGAGGCAAACCATTCTGATTGGTTGTCACTATTTTTTTTATCCATTGGAGCGCACGAAACAACTATGTAATCTCGAAGAACATCGTGCGCACTCAGGTAGGATAGGGAGAGGATGTAGGTGTTGGAATTATTCTCGAAATCTTGAAGGCTATATAAGTTCTTGGGAATAGTTCCATTGGCGAAGAATTCCAAAGCTTCGCCACTCTACAGTCGATTGAGATTTGATAGGGTGTTTTTCGACATATATGGAGTTCGACAACGAAAGAATGTGCTGACCAAGTCTGTCGATTTCGTCTGACTGGTTTTGCTTTAGATGAAATGATGCAGAAGATGACAGTTTCATATACACCGAAAAATATCCAGTTATACAAGTCTCCATTCGATAACATCATATAACTGCGGAATGAACAAGTCTAACCACGAAATGTCATCTGATGACCGTGAAATGTCAAGGTTTTCAACGTGGAACAGGTCACCTTCTCAAATCACTATTTTTGTTTTGAAAAGGTCACCTTATAGATTTGATTTGATAGATTTGAAACAAGATTATAGTTGAAAAAAGGGATTTGAAAGATAATCATTTAAATCCTGAGAAATGTCTTTTCACGGTATCATTTGAGTTCTATTCCTTCTCCATCATTTACCATCTTTGCCATACTCGTTCAGCACAATGAGTCATCTCACCCACTTATGAATACTCGTTCCATCAGAATCGTTAGTTATCTACGGCACATTACAAACATATTAGCAATTATATTTCGACCATGTTTCTGGTCAACAATATCAGATGATTTTTTTATACAGGGAGAAAACCAAAATTACAGCCTCTCTGCTATACTGATTTCGGACATAGGCCGAAGCTACAGAGCAGTTCCCAGTGGTTGTTTCTACAGGAACTACACATATGAAAAATAAAAAGCAGCCACAAATGATGTGAAAAAAGAAGAGAAAGGTGTATCATTACTACCAAGTGAGCTTCTTGAGGAAAATGGATTGAGGAGCAGATCTAGTTCTCCCTCAAAGGTTCTCCTTGTCATTCACAATTATTATTGATGTAGCAACTGTACAACTATGACAGACATTCAGCAAAAAATCAAAATGAAAAAGAGGAGAGTAAAAATATTTCAATACAGAATCAATATTGTTGTTGAGGTTATGAATTGAGTTCCTATGCAAATATGTTTATTATTAGATCACTATATATTTTCAACTTGTTGACATATTTGTGTTTTAGTCAGTATCAGTTATTTTCATGTTATCTAAGTTGTTCAGATCACAATGGAATATTAGTTTCTTCAATTAGGTATGTTGTGTCTGAATTTATTTTGATTGAAGAAGATATTACTTCATCATTCTTAACAATGCGCGTCCGAAGTTCTTCCAAGACTAAAGAAGTCAGACACGTTTCTCTCAAGGATGAAGCGAATTCAATGTTCTCAACTTCTTTATAACCAAGAATTGTTTCCGAAGTTGATAGTGGGGTAGCTGAATGTCGGTGTCATATGGTTTTCAACGTATGTCCGAATTCACCACACCTTGCCTGGTGACCTCGAACACTTTTCAAATGAGAAAAAAAATATTTCCAGAAACAAAAACAGGGGTAGCAGATCACGATCCAACACAGCAATGCAAGGACTACGTTGAGTGGAAATTTGAAGAAAAATATACGATTTTTCAAAATGTTATGGCGAAAAAACAAAATGTCCGTTGACAGTACAGGGTGAACAGTTAAGAGAAGCGGGCGGCCATATCTCATAAGATATTGGTCGTATTGGTTTGCGAAAAAAAAAACATGATGAAAGTCGCCAAGAGAAATTGCTGAGAATTATTTTCGAGTTTGTCAAACGTCCGGTAGAGGGCGTAACAACCAACACTCAGTAGAAAAATGGGATTTTTATAGAATTTTGTCTAATGAAAGTAT